AAATACCCGTAATGGGTAAATGGACTTGTCCACTTACGTCTTAAGGTGACGGGCGCAGTGGCAGTGCTCCTGAGATCTGCGATTGAAAGTTCTGAGTGGGACTGTTATGGATAGGCGTGTCGCTTACAACCAGGCGCACGACTTGTTCGTCCCTTCCCTTGATATTATAAAAAAAAAATAAAAGAAAACATTGCGACAAACTTGCGTGCCCGATTAAGGTTCACAACGCATAGAAAATGAGTGATGTCCCCAACCTGCATTGGATCAACGTGGGAGACTATGGCCTAAATTCTTTCCTTAAAGGAGTCCCGTGGCTAGCTGTAGGACATATAATGTTGGAACTCATTTGAAGAGTCCAGGGAAAGAATGATCAAAGTCACTTGAGGAGACTTTTAGTAGAAAAGAACTTTTAATTTTGAGAACTTTCAAATGTTGTTGAAAAAGACAGGCACATATATGTACTACTTAAAATAAAGTCAATGCTAACATAAATGTAAAAAACAGAATGGCATACGTGGAGTTACGTCAAACATGTTTATTGCTCCAAAAGATACAATAAAAAATAACCTCATCCTCTCCAATTCTTGTAACTCTATCGACTAATATTGTAGATAGATTTACAAGAATTGGAGAGGATGTGGGCTATATTTTTCTGTATCAAATGGAGCAATAAACGTTTTTGATGTAACAATAATAGCAAACTTATAAAATCTAAAGATAAAGTAGCCCAAGCTTTTGAATCGTTATTTTCGGAAATTGCTGTGAACAAATACATTAAATTCCTCCCCTTCACTTGCTATTGATCTCCTAAAGGAAAAAGTTAACGTTTATGGCAGTTTATTTAATTTCCGTTAAAGTTAATCCACAAGACATCATAAAAGTTTTTAAATCAATACATGTTAAAAAAACTGAAGATCTCTGGGGCATATCAACTAAAGTTATAGACTCAGTTATTGATCTTATTTCCCCACAGTTAGGTGTAGCTTTCAATAGGTGCGTTGACGGAGGTGTTTTTCCCGATTTAATGAAATACTGCAAGGTCCCTTATTCAAAAGCGGTAGGAAAGTTGATCCTAGCAACTATAGGCCCATTTCAATTTTACCAGCTTTAAGTAAAATATTCGAAAAGGTTATGCTAGCTCAATTACTGTCCTATTTCTGTAGGAATCATATTTTTCATAGTGCACAATACGGGTTTACTAGTGGTAGATCGACTAGCGATACGGGGGTAGGGTTACTAAAACACATCTTTGATGCTTGGGAAAGGTCCCAGAACGCTATTGGTGTTTTCTGTGACCTCTCAAAGGCATTTGATTGCGTTGATCATATTACTCTTATTAGGAAGCTGGAACATTACGGTGTAAATGGCAGGCGTCGAAACTTGTCTCGTCATATCTCAATAGTAGAATTCAGAATGTAGACATAAATGGAGTGACTTCTTTGGGTTCTCCAGTAAAAATGGGTGTTCCGCAGGTCTCAATACTTGGACCTTTCTTATTTCTCTTCTTATATCTATTTATACTAATGATCTGCCATTCTTTGTTAAGGACCATTGCGAAATAGTGTTGTTTGCTGACGACACATCCTTGATTTTTAAAACAGACAGACATGACATTAACTACGACCATATTAATGATACCCTCTCTAAGGTAGTTTATTGGTTTAATGCTAACAATTTATTGCTTAATGCCAAGAACACAAAATGTGTTAAATTTGAATTACCTAACGTAAAATCGACTAGTCTAAGCATAGACACAAATAGAAATAACAGACACAACAGACACACAGACAGAAATAAACAGAGAAAAGTTAGACCTTGTTAATAAAGCAGTCTTCTTGGGAGTGACCTTAGATAGTACACTTCAATGGTTTCCACATGTATTGTCTCTGGCCAGCAGATTAAGCTCCGCTGCATACGCAGTCCGCAGAATACGTGAGCTTACCGATGTTAGTACTGCTAGACTAGTTTACTTTAGTTACTTCTATACTATAGTATAATATCCTACGGGATTCTCATGTGGGGTAAAGCGGCAGATATTCAAACCATATTTGTTTTGCAAAAACGAGCGATTCGTTCTGTGTACCGTCTAGGCTCTCGGGTTTATATCAGAGAAAAGTTTAAGGAGACTGGTATCATGACTGTGGCATCACAGTACATTTACTCAAATATTTTATATGCCCGTAAAAATATACATAATTTCAATAAGAAAGAAGACATCCATAATATTAACGTTAGAGCTAAGTCCAAACTCATGGTACCACGATTTCCTTTAACCAAGGTAAACAACTCTTTTATGGGGAACTGTATACGTTTTTACAATAAATTATAATTCCGGAGCATATATAATAATAAATAATAATAATAAATAATAAATAACGCACACACTCAACATAGCCCCGCACTAGGGAAACCCTGTGTCGCGGGTGCCATGGACACACACATAGACAACCACAAATTACACCCAAACTCACGAGAGAAATTAATGTAAGCCATACAAACATTTCTCCCGGCCCGGGAATCGAACCTGGGACCTCTGCGTGGCAGTCCGGCATGGTAACCGTTCGGCCACGGAGGCAGTTTATAATTAATTAATTATTATTAATAAAAGTTTATATATTAAGTTTATCATTTCCTAAGTTTAAAAAGTACATTAAAAATATTTTGATCGAAAAATCATATTACAAAATTGAAGACTACGTGTTAGATAAAGATGTATGGAAAGACGACATGGCTCCAGAATCCACACAAAGATTCAAAGTGTATTCCATAGCATTTAAGTTTATTTGAAAAGAGCAATCCCTAGAGTTTCTTGCTCGTTCTTCTCAGGGAGGTCGGCGTAGTGAACGAGCAGTAGCTTAAATGTGACGTTTTCAAGTGTAAATTTATTTTACCTATGGAATAAATAATCTTTGACTTTGACTCCACATAAGCCATTCTTCCATGAGGGGTGCCATTTATAAACCATTTTTAACTTTTATACCATTTAGTCGCCAGCATTTTTATGACTGAAAGTAAAAACTAATGTTTCACGACATTGAACCTTATTAGCCGTTTTCTGCAAAATACGTTCAGCATTTACCGAACTGGGTGGCGGTATTTATTAAAAACGGGTTTAAATGACTGATCATTCTTTCCGTGGTCTCTTCATTTCTAATCCGACAGTACGCTTCAGCTGGAGAAGGTACGAACCATCACAGCCAAAACAATCCTACAGCTGTTCCTTAATACTATTCACCTTGGCTCTTGAGTTGTGTTTATAGATAAGTTTAGTGGTTTATACATAAATTGCTATTTGTAATCATATAGGACTGCAAAGAGTCTGAATAAGCCACGCTAAGAAATAATAAAAAAAACATTAAAGTAATTTAAGTTTTTAGTGAATTGATATTCAATTATTTTTATGTGAAATTACTCCACTAGTTTGTTACAAAGATCGAACACTCAGAAAAAATTCCTTCGATCCGGCCGGGTTCGAACCGACATCTTCTGAGTGTTTGGTCTTTGTATTAATAATTATTAAATTAAAGTAAGATTTAAATTTTTGGGGAACCAATATTTTCTTCTAATTATGAAGTACATTTTTATTGATTTAAAAAATTAAAAAGTATTTTGAATAATTTATTGGCGCTTACATCAATTGCTATTTTCTTCTAATTGGTTTTATTTGTATACAGGCCAATTGTCGAGCCTTCATTTACATTGTGTTAGTGGTTTTGCTCACTTTGACCCAATGATCAAGGGATTTAAACTAATTTCACAAGGACTATACAAAACCTACTTTAAGCACCAATCGCAAAAAGTTAGTCTTCAATAAAACAGAGGAGTCAGTGTTCTCATCATCTTATTAACTCCATCCCAGCTGCGACTCGCGCTTAATCAAACGAGAGCAATTGTGGTGATTCACTTTGTGCGCGGGAGACGCCGGCGTCGCTAACGTCCATTACTTTTCCACTATTAAAAGAAAACATATAATTTAACAAGTTTGTACAATCAGTGAGATAAATATTAATGTTTTAAGGAGAAAGGTCGTAAACGACATTTGGCATTTGAGTTCATATCATATTTTTAATTTTTCATATTAATTTGTATGAACAATTGTCGTATACGCCCTTTCACTTTAGGATGACAGTGCATTTGTAGTTCGTATAGTTATAAGGTTACAAGCTGCATTAATCATCGAAACTAATCAGTGAAATTTAAATGAACGTGCGCAAACGAAAAAGACCTTTATCGGGCGTGATGTAATGTTTCGAATGGCGTAAGCGCCGAATACTACTGATCCAGAAATAAAATTATTTCCCTAGCCTTGATCCGAGTTGCTCAATGGGCTGCAGTTTTTTTCAGACTACAGTGCGTATAGTGTTTAATAATGTGATTACATGTGCCAACTGTATGTGATATCTGATTTAAGTGTTGTGGAATGCCTGGAACAAAATGAATGAAGGTGGTGAGGTATAATGTTGTTTCTACGTTTGTTTTATTTGCGATAACAAGAGCTTATATCTGCCATGCCGCTAATACAACGCCTTTGCGTTGGCGCGGATCTGTTGGCA